AAATCCATCTGTCTTGTTCATGACCAGGTCATTTGGAGTCTGATTGGTCAGTCTGACTGGATCACTCCCTTCATGAGAGTTTCTCATTTTATTATAATTCCATTCAAGGTGTGGTGTTGAGAACACATAAAGCCGACTAAATGTTAAAAGTAATAAATCAATATATGAATAAGATGCTTCCTTTTTCTCAAAGAATCATCACAAGGTGTCACTAAGTAGTAGGAGGAGTTCAGAGTTTCCCCCAAAAGGCTTGCTGATCCCGGTGGCCAGGGCACCAAGGCGATCCACCGGCGGACCGCCATGTTTTTATATTACGATGTTAAGAAGACAGGAAATGTAAAAATATTGCAATTATGTGTTACGGAAAAACCTTGCTAGTGAGATGCTATTTAAATCCACGGCTAATCTGAAAAATAGCAAATAATATTAAAAAATATATATAGTTAAAATGTTTGTCAATTATTTGCACTTCTGTTTAATAAAAATTAAGTCAGAAGCTCCCAGATTTCACTAACCCTAACAGAAGCTGTTAGAGGTGCTGATGTTTTTAGCAGCAAGAGGGGCTCCCAAGTCAAATTCTGGTCAAGGCCCCGTACAGCCTTGCACCGCCGAAATGAAGACTGTCGCTAACCCCGTGGTAGCTCCTGGTCACAGGACCATTTTGATTAATGACAAGCCAACACCAGTAAGTTAGCAACCAGCACTGGCAAATAAGACGAAGATTACTACAAAGTGTTAGCTTTGAGAGGCTAGTGGTTAGCATGATCAGGCTGGTTGCTCCTTGGATTGTCTACTTCTGCTGGACATTAGCATGGATAGGCTACCTTTACCTTTTAAGGCAATGCGTTGCTAGGCCAGCTTGTGCTAATACTGGCCTATTGTGTACCAATGCTAGCAGTAGCTAGGATAGGCTAATGCTAAGTCAATGCTAGGATAGCATTAGCAAAAGATAGATTAAAGCTATCATGTTATCATTTTTATACCATGGGAAAAAGTGTTATGAGTAAAATAATCCGCCAATGGAACTAGTACTTTTTTAAAATCAATATTAAGGAATAATAGACTTAAAACAAGATAATATTTCTCATTGTTAGTTTTTTCTTATTTCAAGTGTACTGAGATGTTTCCACTAGAAACTAGACTAAAAATGACTCAATAAGCTGTCGTGTTTTTTTGCACTGATAAGAAGCGTCTTCTCAAGCCTGATCTGAGTTACACAACAGCCGTGATCTTGAATCCATCAGGCTGGAACAGCTCTGACTTGGCCTCAGAGGAAAACCACTCCCAGTCGCCCAGACGCTGTGTGTCGGCTGACAGCGGCCAACGCAGGCGGAGGCCGGGGGGATGAGCTCACAGGGGAACCAGGGGAAACATTCGTGGGAGTGTGAGGGGAAACAAAAGTCAGGACGGAGGACAGGAAAGGGAAGAAAGAGACGCAGAGACTGACTGATTGGAGGAACACAGAGAGGAAAAATGTCATGAGGGCGTTTAGGGTTTGAGGATTGCTGCGCCTGGAACATTTATCTCAACATTAAGTCACATTTGTCAGACGCAGCAGGTGACAAAAGTGAACTCTTACGCCCTCGGCGATGGAGAGTTTGGCCAGGACTTTGTCCGACGCCTGCGCTACTCCTGCCGGCCACTCCACCTTCACCTCCTCTTCCTCCGGCGTGTCCTCGCCCTGCGCCGCGTGCTCCTCTGCTTCCACTTCCCGCTCCTCTGCTTCCACTTCCTGCCCTTCCTCGAGCTCCTCTTCCCCTTCGTCCTGCCGCTCTTTCTCTTCCTCCCTCTGTAGTGAGGAAACGTCTGACTGGGAGATCATGCTCTGGGTGTTGGCTGAAGAGACAGAAAAACGCAGAAGAGGGTAAAAAAAAATCTCTTTTTTTTTTTAATAAATCAAACTTTATGTAGCCTTCTTTTACTAAACTTTTCCTCTATTAGGTCATTTGTATTTGCTAAATGCCAAAAATCTTTTAGAGTTCCAGATCAAATTTGGGACCTCCAGAAGTCTCGTTCATCCTTCGGTAAAGCCAAATCGCCATGGAAATGTCCAGCCGTCATCAGACGTAACATGATTTCTGTGTCTCAGAGAACGTGGACGTATTCTGGTGTGAAAATAAGCCCCCAGAAGAAAAGCAGGCTGCTGACTGAAGCTTGGTGAGACAGTGTCATGGGCTGAAAGGTAACTCAAAGAGGAAGAAGACATTATTTCAACATAAAAAGTCAGACCGCCACTCCTTTTCTCGATGCCGCCCTGGGCAACCGCCTATATAGCCCGTATCAAAAAATGCCACTGTTTTTTTTTAAATGCGGAAGAAAAAAATAGCTTTATTGTCTCAAACCAAACATGTCAGAAGATTCTCCATTTTTTGTGTTCATTTATTTAGGAAGGCTTAAAGGAAGCCATTTTGTTTTATTGATTTATTTCATTTGGAAACCTTCCTCTCCAGTCGTTTCCTGTGGAACTTGTGCGATGAGGCGGCAGCACGCAATCCGTCCGAGGAAGTGAAAAATGTTTGACTTTCGAACTGATGTGGCATCTAGAATCCGAAAATCACGCACATGGGCAATTTCTACGAAATATTTCACATTTTTCTCGCAAATTGACATCTTTTGAATTTTTTTTAACACTTTATAAATATTTTCGAGTAAGTTTACAGCAGGTGTTCCACCGACGTGAAACACCTGCACATTAACAGATTCTTAAAATAAAAAAATCACAATGTTACGCAGGCAAAGAGTTTATAAAATGATGACAAAATAACTTATACCTGTGTAAATAAATAAAAGACTGAGGCAGAGTTTATGACACCTCAACTGTCCATCTTATCTAAAAGTTACTTAGGAGGCTGAAAAAAGTTACAAATTTCATCTTTTTTATTACACTATTTACAATGTTGTATTTATAAAAACGTAAAATTAATGTCAAATCTCCTGTGATCCATTATTTTTGTTATCTACTCTTATATACAGTGGCTATAAAACTCCATCATATCATCATAATTCTCTTAATTAATTAAGCTGTGACCGTCGGTCCATTCTTACCTTTACCATGACGAGACTGCAGAGTTTCCGTCCCAATCTGAGTGTCTATGAAGTTCAGGTTTTTCTGTTTGAGAAACATAAAAGACAAACTGGTTCCACAAAGAGAAAAAAGAGTCATAAATTCATCAATAGAGAATGGTTTGTCATGTCTGACCTGGTCCGGGCTGAAGGATGGTCTGACAGACGTCACAGAGAAACACAAACATGGTAGGAAAACAAGAGAGGGGCAAATCAGACAGTTTGCTGTGGAACTTATAAAACAATCAACAAGACAACATCTGTTTGTGTGTCAGATCAACATGGAGCAGCAGCAGCATCCAGACACGCAGCGTCTGTCTGAGTCCAGAGGAAATGATATTTCCTGCTCTGGCCAGGAAGGTTCTCTGCACCAGGCGTTGTGGCTCTTTGCCCCGGGCGCCGCCTTGTTCCGGGCGGCACACACAATCATAATTTTAAAAAGCTTCCAAGGATTTTCAAGCAGCATAGTGTGGACTCCACAGTCTAGACATTTTAAGTTGGTGACGATTGGTTTTAGTAAGTTTTGATCACCTTCAAATATGAAACTTGGACTAAATAATTCTTCCATACAAGATTTTGAAAAACAAAAGGCCACATTTTCATATTTGGAATTGGGGATCATGCAATATAAAAATCTGGACTGATATAGGCATATTGAAGGAAGGACGGTCCAAAACTCAATATTTACTGGTATTATCTACATATATTATATGTTTCCTCTTCCTGAAATACAAACAAAAACAGCAGCAAGATAGAAATACAGATCAGTTGGTAATTTCGTCCCAGTTGTGTTCATCAAATCAATACCGATATGTTAAAAAAATTATAAATATCGTCCATTATAGATGCAGATGCCCATATATCGCGCGTCACTACTTTTTTACTTTGTTGCTCATCTTGCAACAAGAACTTGTTTTCTAAGGTGGACGCTCAGGTAAAAGCAGCGTTGATGCTAAAGGTCTCCTGAAGGCTCAACATGTCTACCTGTGGTGTGTTTTGCAGATGTGCCTCAGCTTCTCGATGTGTTTCCGGCTGACGCCGTCTTCTTCCGGAGGCACCCGGCTCTCCCCGTCCTCCTCATTGAACTCACTCTCTGAGAAATGCAGATGAAATGTCACTTCAATGTTTTTCTAATAAAATCATTGTATTTTTTTTTAAGAAGAAACTACAATTTGGGAACCATCAGATGCATGCAGTACCCCATTTCTCCTGCAGGGCTGTGAGATTAGAGAGCACACGTTCATGGTACAGCTTCTCCAACCGTAGGAACCGAATGGCCCACTGGTCTGATAGAGTGCCAGTTAAAGAAAGAGCTACACCCAAACACACACACACACACACCCACACACACACATTGGCATTCAGCTATGCTGCATCTTTGCTATCACTACTAAAACCTGCATGCACAGGTTTTAGTAGTTTAGTAGTTTATTATGTCATCACAGAGTGATGACATAATCATTCATAACAATAAACCTTCGATCATAGAAAGATACAGGAAGTATCTTGTTTACGGCGGTAAATGATGTAATTGTTTTTCTTATCTATTTGCATTCACTAGATTTCAGCCATGACAGTTTGTCATAAACATGTGTTGCTTAAAAAATGTTTAGTTTGTAATTTTTTAAGATAAAATTTTTTTATTTTGTTTCATTTTTTTTCTCTCCTCTTCCCTCTAACTTGCTGAGGTCCCCACAGCGCCCCCTGGTGGTCAGCCACTTTGAAAAACACAACTGTTGAATATGCAGAACAAACTTTTGGTGGACAACAAAGCGAGACATGTCTTGTTTAAACTGTTACTAATCAATACACGAGAAATATATTAAAACAATAAACCCCAACTGTAAGTTTTGCAAAGAGAATCCAGAAACAATTTGTCATTTATTCTTGGACTCTGGCATCACAGGAAAATTTTGGAAAAAAAGTAATAACTTAATCATTTATAGTTTTGATACTATATCAAGGTGTGAGTATATTATTTTTGGTTTTTTTGGTAAGAATGCTAATGCTGGCAGAAGACGGGCAATTACCCTCATAATGATGTTCGGCAAGTTTTATATTCACAAGTGTTAACTCTTGTCATCTTGATCATTTTATTTATGTATTCTTTTTTACAGTTTTTAAGAAAATTGAACTAAATTTATCCACTATTTCCAAGAGTACAAACAAAAAAAATTGTAAGCACATTTGAATGTTATAAGTTATTGATATTTTTCATTCGTAATGTTTGTAATTATATCTGCTTTCTGCTTTTTTGTTTTTGTACTAATATATTTACTGTAGAATCCTACAGCTCTGGCATTTTTTTTTTCATATTTTGTGTTCTGCTCCTTAATTTTTCTTTGTAAACAAAGATGTTTTCTTAATGAAAAAAAACACAAAAAAAAGAAACACATGCTTTGTTAAAAAAAAATCCCTTTAGGCCTGACGTCAGCCAATTTGAGTCGTCTAATAAAACATTTTCATAAACGGTAAACTTTCTCCACCGAAACCCTGCACTGCGTCTTGAGACGTTCATCTCTCTGAATCGTGGATCATCTCTCTCCCCCTGTCCGTTGCCCGCGCTCTCTGCCTCCTCACGCACAAACCCGTAAACACGACGCCCCGTTGCAGAGAAAAACAACAGGCTGACAGCTGTTGCCGGGGAAACGGCACAAACAGCGCAAAGGGGGGGAAACTACAACTGCAAGCCAAACGTGAGGGGAAACACCCAGAGCGTGCGAGGAAAAACATAGCAGCCCTTCAGGCTCGCTCATGTTTCATTTTTATCAATAATTTGTTCTTTGGTAAAACCTTGCTTTATTCTGGATGTCACACTCCCGTGTCTGCAGCGTCTCACACGCTGGGCGGATCGGTCGTGATTCGGTTTGAAAGAATGAAAAAAAGAGGTGTCAGAGTGCATTACTAAGACATATGAAGTTATGATGCAGCTTAAAGGATACGCTCCTGCCTCAGTGAGTAGGTCTCTGCGATCTTAAAGAAAAGAGAAAGTGTTCACAGATATATGACCATGTCAGTCCAGAGCATGATCATTTGACATTAAAGCTTAAACTACACTTTTAGGTTTGATTGAGGTTCTCCAGCTGTTTTTGCTTGAACTTTGTCTTAATCCTTTTAAAGATGCTAATCAAAATCTGTGCACAGCAGAGCATACAAGACAACCTGAGAGAGAGACAGAGAGTCACATGAATCTGCTTACGGGTTATGGTTAGGGTAGGGACGGATTAAAACGTCTCTGTGGGATTTTTTTTCCCCCTCCATCTGAATACTTTTACCTTCATCCACATGACCAGCTCAACTCTTTAAAGGGGCAGTATTCTGTGCTTTGCAGTCACGCTCCATCATTTTAGAGAGCAATTAAGTAATATGTTACTTTCGGAATGCTATACTATCAAATACAACTTAAAAGAAATTTGAGTTTGTAATTTTAGGTCTCTGTCTCTTTAAGAAGCTACTGCTCTTTCTGAAACTCTGCCTTCAGGAAGTCATCCTTTTCTTCTAACACTTTGATGACATTTTTACCTGTGTGGCACTGAGAAGTCGCTACTACAAAGTGCTCAGCTGGTGAACAGTTCTACCAGGTGTTTGCTAATTGCTGCTGGCTAGTCTGAAGGAGCTAAACTGAGCTACATTTTGTATGGTCACTGTGAAGGATTTTTCAAAAATGCATGAAAGTATCAAGGCAAAAGGCCAGGCATGTTTTGGTGAGGGAATAACAATATAACATGATGTAAAGTTGGTTTTTGTATGATACTGCCCTTTTAAATCACACCATGCAGCCATGTCGTTGTTTCCACTGATACTTCTAACCACCCCTGCTTCTAATAATCCAGAAATGTTCAAAAGAGAAAAATAAGACTCAACATTTCACAGTATTTCACATATTCATGGCTACATGACTACATTCTCTATTAACTAGAGCGCTTTGAATATTTGATATATCCCTTAAAATGTCAATATTTCGTCATGGTATAACCACAGTCATCAGTGGATTTTACAATTGGTTTTTATTTTGTGTAGGCCAACACAAAATAATGCATAATGATGAAAGAGGAGTAAATGTTTCACTTACAAATTTGTATAGTGTGGAGTTCATTTGAATTCATCCTCCTTTACTCCAGACTCCATAAATAAACAAACTGCATGTGACTTGATCACTTATTTTGTATTTTTTGCCCCACTTTCACTACGAAACACTTCTTTGTATTGATCTGCCTCAAAAAACCCCAATATGTGTTGGATGATCTGTACGTCAGCAGGCAAATGTCACACAGTAGACAGCACAGGTACTGTTTTTACTCTTATTGTCCATAAATAATACAGATTATGACATTTCTTTCATGTCTAATAATCAGATTTAATAAAAGCCATCTATTGTATTCACTAATAGCAAAGAAAATATACATTTTGTATGCATGACTAACGCAGACAAACATCCCTTAATTACAAGAGGAGACAAGTCACATGCACTGATGCACCCACACCCACACACACACACACACACACACACACACACACACACACACACACACACACACAATGGCTTTTTTCTGTAAGGCTAAATAAAGACACATTGTATTCCCTCTGGGTTCGGAAGAATATATTCCTCCCTGTTTCTCTGAATCACATGGGCACACACACGCAGACACGCGGACTCACACACCTGGTGCAGGGATTGCGGCAGCAGAGTGTAGTCGTCATTTTCTCCCAGGGCCTGCAGGGAGGCCAGCAGCTCCGGACTGGGGCTCTGAGCTTCATCTGCGGCGACGCCTCCTAGAAACAAAACAAAACAAAACAGAAGAAGATCAAAAACCAAACCCTGGAATGAATCCATACTGGAAACCTGCCGTTCCCATTTTATGTCAAATCGGATCTGAAACAAAGTTGTATTTGTGTCTGTTAAATCACAGTCGCTCAAAGCAAACCCTCAGATTCGAGCAAACCGTCGTACCTGTGTTGGAGCATCAGATCAAATGACAGCTTCATTACCTCGGCGTTAGCTCATGCCAGCAGGGTGTGACGCTCCTCTGGGGCTCAATGCAACTCAGCACAGCAGGCGTTAGAGAAAGCAGACACAATGCAATGATCCTATCCTAGGAAAATGCATACTAAATAAAAAATAAATAAAAACAAAACTAAAATTTATTTTTGTATCTCATTTAAATGCAAAATAGCTTCACACCTCAAAGCTATTTTCCTTTCTAAAGAAATTTTGTTTAGCTGGATTAAATGCAAAAATGACAGATTAGTGATCCATTCAGCTTCTACGACCCACAAATCTGGAATAAACTTCCAGAAAACTGTAAAGTTCCTTTTAAATCGTGGCTAAAAACCGAATCGTTTACAGTTCACTTTGTTTCCAAGCATTTAATGTATATTTACTTGATCATTCTGATGACGACATTTGACAAAATATAAAGTTTATTGTCTCATAATCGGTTACTGTATTATGTTTATTTTCTGGTGTGAAGTTTGAACTGTCCTGACTATTTGTTTAATGTGCTACACACATTAACTTGACATTGGTCCCTTTTCCAGTTCAAAGAAAGTTGAACTGGCATTTAAACTTCTTCCAAAACAAAAATTTTATTCCCTCCTATTTTTTTATTTATTTTTTATTTTTTTGCCTAAAGATGATTTAAGCAAATAAAAAATAAAATAAAAATCTCTCTTGGCAAAACATTTGCTTTGGCTGTTATTTAAAGAGTTATTTTTAACTTCACTCTGTAACTCCTCTGCACCATTTTTTATATTAAATAAAAAAAATTTTTAAATACTCCAACATTGAATTGAAATCTGTATTCCTTGAAGCCTGGAAGCATAAAAACTCTCCCTCGGTTAACAACGAGGCCATGTTTACCTGTAGCGCTGCTGACCAATGCTGCGTCTTCCTTCCCAGTGACCCCGCCTCCAGAACCTCTCGGTGGAACGGCGTTTTTGTTCCCCATCCCCTGCGCCTGGGCCAGAGTTTACTCTTAAAGTTCCTAAAGTTGCAGAGAGAACCCGTTCCAGGCAGGTTCTCTTCGTTTCAGCTCCCTTGGGAAAACATGAACTGCTCTGAGTTTATGGGAACACTTCCTCAGAGCAGAGATAAGGAAATTACTTTGGGAAATTTACTCTGCCATACAGCCCACAGGAGGAGGGAGGCGGGGAGGGGGCAAATTTAAGGGGCGCTCCAGTGATCCACTGTGGACAGGGTGTGTATTCAATCCTCCTGGGTGGCCAGAAGAACAAAGGGAAGCTGAAATGTTCATAAATGTGGCGCTGAGGCCAACTGCAGCTGGATTTCTGCCTTCCTCTTCGCTTCAATTCCTTCCACCAGTCGTCCTGTCAAAACAAAACAAAAGACACGTTTTAAGAAAAACAGAACAACACGTGGACTGAGCCGTCTGATTAGGCACGTGCAGAGTGGGGGGCAAAGGGGGCTTGAGCCCCTAGTGCCCTTTTTGATTTTTGATTTTTTTTTTTTTTAGATTAAAATACGTAAGCAGTTATTATTTCGTCTATAGTTTGAGTTGGAGTTAGGGGTCACAACTATTCACTCCGGCTGCAGAACAAAGTTAAATCACACGCACTGCCTCACTGACAATAACGTTCTGGTCTTTTTTCTGCCGCAGACGGCCAGGTGTAACAAGAAACTCAAAGTCATTCTCAACCCAAGCATCAATGTACCTGGAGGATGTGGAATGAAGTGATACCGCCTGTCCTCTGTCATCTGCTGTAGTTCTGACTCAGCCCAGTTCTAATTCACGGACAGCAGATGTCTTCGCTGCAGACAGCCGCTGCAGCGAAGATGTGTTCAGAAGGGGCTTCATGTTTGTTTATAAAAAGCGAACAAATTCAGAGCAACTCCAGGAAACCACACCTAACTTCTCCAATCCCTCCTCCCAAAGATGATGAAGGTGATTTCAGAGAGGAGCTAGAAATATCTATTTTTGTTGAAGATAGCAGCCAAGATGATACAATAAATGAACATTTTGAGGCTGGAGAATGTAAGTGGCTGCAACAGAACATATTTATGTTCTACAGATATTTAGACATCATCTATCTATCTATCTATCTATCTATCTATCTATCTATCTATCTATCTATCTATCTATCTATCTATCTATCTATCTATCTATCTATCTATCTATCTATCTATCTATCTATCTATCTATCTATCTATCTATCTATCTATCTATCTATCTATCTATCTATCTATAGATTGATAGATACCTGAATGGTAGCCACAGGAGATTAAAGGATTTCTAAAACATGTATAAAAAAATCATAGCAACACTCCAGTTGTGTTTGTGATAAGAGAATAACATTATAAAATGACAGACAGCTCAAAAGAGACAATCTTAGCTGATACTTTCACCTGAATGTTCACATACACAAGCTAACAAAAACACCGTCCCATTTTTGGCTTACAATGCAGGACAATAACAGTTCTGCTGCACAGATGGGCATTTCTGCCTCACGTAGCTTACATCTTCAGCCTGAGGTCTGAGGGCATGAAATCTGTGCGATGCTCACGCAGCCTGCTAGCTGTCATGGGAAAGTTATGGACTCCGCGCCATGGAATGCGACATAAAGCGCGAACGCCAGCAGCAGGGTCTGACTCACGGGGTTTGCAGCTTTGGAGCTGAGAATGATGCAGCCGAGGCTTAAAAGGATGAAGTTCTGTGTGAACCACAGCATGACGTTTCTGGGTTTGCTTCAACAGATTCTGTTTTGCTTCTTAGAAATGTATTGAAGCCATGAGCTGACTACTGTTTTTAATCCAGTGCTTTTTTTTTTCCCCTGCCACATCACCAGAGAATTTGGAGGAAAACAATTGCCTGAGAAAAGTAATTATGTTCTCCTTTTCTAGGATGTTATGTTGTGAGGCAGCCGCTTGCCTCCTCTCTAGACTATCAGCTTTCCTCACTCCAGAAATGCATCCGTCCACTGAAAGAAGAACGGATCCACACCTAAGTTATACAGCAACACAATGGTCACAGCAACACCAGCAAGATCTGAATTGCTCAAAAAATGAGAGGGATTTGGAGTAGCCTTGTCAAAGTCCAGACTGCAATTTGATTGAGCTCCGGAGACAAGACATTGTCAATGCTCAAAGCCGATGAATTGACAGGAATTTTGTAAATAAGAGCAGGCCGAAACTTCTTGAGTGATGAAAAGGAATAATTGCCAGTCAGCACAAACAGCTGATTGTAGCTGTTGTTGCCAGGAAGGTCAGAATCAGTTACTGGGTCAGTGGGGCAACTGCTTTTTCTGACATCCTTCCAATGGCTCTCCATGTCTTGGAGAAAAGACTTTTGATAGTTTATAAGCCACTCAACAGTTTAGCAACAAAATACGTCAAAGATCTGTTGTCGTTGAATCAGCCTCACAGGCCTCTCAGCTTTTCCCCAAAACCAAGCATGGAGAAAGAAGCAGCATCCTGTTTTTATGACAACTCACTGAGTTTCAGTTTTCTGCCGAAACACGGAGTTTCCTGAAATCAGAGGTAGAAATCCATTCGCCTAGAGCTGCCCAGGACATAGATCTAGTCTGGATCGCAACTTTTTATTTCTGGCGCACAATGTTTCGGGGCCTTTTTGTGTTTATTATGTAAAACTGTTTGAATTACCTTGGTTATGAAATATGTTGCACAGTATGTTCTTCAGCTGGATAACGCACTGCTCTGCTCATGCTGGAAAACAAGAGCAGACATAGATGTGTATTTTCGTTTGACATAACTGATTACTTAATATAATGTAATGTAATAAATAACTTTATATAACAAAGCTAGGACAAAAAAACAAAACAGTTGTAATTAATGTTTGCTCGTGTATTTTGGATGTCAGATCCCAAAAATTTGGCTGAATAAACCACCACATAATATTTCCGGAAGCCAAACGACCACAAATTTACATTCATACCATAAAAGTGAAATATTTCCACTTCAGTCTAGGAAGTCTTCCCGACTCTTCCCGCCGCATTTCCTGGATATTTCATCCCGACGATCCTTTCAGAGGAACCAAACAGCAGGGTGGTAGCTCCCGGGGGGAAGCGCACGTGCACGTGCACGCGCCCGTGACACAACTGCAGCTCGCGCCCCCAGCCGTTTTAACGACTTTGTTTATTACAGCCGAGCCTGTCAGTCCGGTCCAAATGTGTTCCATATTGATAATGAACACCAGACACTGACCTTACAGGGCAGGACGGAGCTGCGCGTCCTTCTGCCAGCATCATAGGTGAGACACCTAAAAGTAGGGTACCGAGTTTAAAGCGCCTCCGTCTCCGTTACGACCGCAGGAATAATCACCACTTCCGGTGTTACTGTAACCCAAACAGCCACGGCACCGGCCTGCGCAAGCGTCTGGTGATTAGGACACTGTGAGGATGGATGGATGGATGGATGGATGGATGGATGGATGGATGGATGGATGGATGGATGGATGGATGGATGGATGTCCTACCATCAACGCCCCTGGATCAGCGTCGCGGCGTTCCCCCCTCCTCCACCAGCTGCTGAATCCGGACAAACTTCCGTCTGTGTCACGCTGTCTTCCAGCCTGCTTGCTTTTCGCTTCTGTCTTCTATCTATTTCCCTCCCCTGCTTCTTCTCGCCAGCAAAACACACATATAAATAAATATACCCATCTCCCCAACAGGACTGGTTATTTATTTATTTATTTTGTTCCGCGTGCGTCCGATGCTGCCATCTTCTGGCAGATGTGGCCCTCTGGCCCCTGGTGGTGTCGGCGCTGACGTAACAACAGAATGAAGCGTTGAGGAAATGAAACGGGGCGGGAGGCTCAATGCGACCTGCACCGCATCGCCTCCATTACATAAGCAGAACCAAGCGCTGCAATATATTTGTAGGTTTATTATTATTATTATTATTATTATTATTATTATTATTATTATTATTATTATTATTATTATTATTAATTATTTTCAATATTCAATATGCTCACTCAAAAACCGCGATTGGTTAAAAATAACAAAACAAAAATGTCCAAATTGTTGTTGAAGCACACTCAACTTTATTACATTTTGACCCCTTTTTTGAATTTTTTCAAAATTTTTATTTTTTTAAATATATATATTTTTAAAAATCATAAAATGCATCACCTCAGATGATCATCTCATTTGTTACCTGTAATGTTCAATTATATCAAATTCTAGGACAAGATCTATTTCATCATGTTTTCACTTTTTACCTGGAATGTTAAATATGACCAATATCTCTCCCTCTGTGCTGCTCTTAAGAACTACAGCGATGGCAGAAGGTCAGAACTACAAACATGGTGGAACAACTGCTATAAACTGATTACATCTTTGAATAGTGCTGTTTATTATATCTTATATTGATTTAATGTAGTGATGACAAAAGCAACAAACAAATCTAGTGTGCTCTGGACTTAAGATGGAGTAAATGCCCACATATTCATGACATGCTTTGATATATAAAATTCATAAATTTCAGTACTGAAAAATTTGCTTTATACCATTCGAGTTTCTCCAAGCTGAGAATGTGAGTCTGTACTGGGCTGATTCTGTGCCTTCAAATCATTTCAACAATGTAGAAGATTCATGACTTATAACTTATAAGTCCGAAACTGGAAGAGGTTTGAAAAAACAGTCTGTGTGCTACACTCAAGAGAGAGATTCATTTGATGCTCAAAGAGTGATGTCATCACTGCTGATGTCATTGTTACCATTGAAGCTGAACATTTTAATGGCGCATTCACATCAAGCGCGTTTTGAGAGTCAGGCGATTCTGGTTTATATTCAAGGTCTATGTGGAGTGTTGGACGCGCTGGATGCGTCAAACACTCCCGACGCTCGACGCGCCTCCACCTCGACTGAATGCAAAACCAGACTCTCAAAACGCATTTAGTGTTTACACCATGATATGTCCAGTGTCACATTAGGTCAGTGCTTTGACCCTCTGCTCTGCATGTTTTAGACGTGTCTCTATTTCAGAACAGCTGATCCAAATGATTGCATGACCTTTTTTCATAAAAACTGACTGGTTGTCTCACAGAGATAGAATTCTTTCTCCACCTGTCTTTGTTACACGCAGGACAGTTACCATAGCAACGGAACACAGCAGGGCATAGCAGCTGATTAGGACTACAAAAACGCATCACTGTAGTTCTAACTGGCAGGAATGAACTGGCCTTGAGAACTACTTGTGTTTTGGGCGTTTTATAACTGATTTTAACCAACCACATTGTTACACATAAGATTAGTGTGGCAATTTTAAATTAAGCTTAATGAAAATTTCAAAATAAAAGACTACACAATTTTGACATCAGGTAATTCTATTTTGGGCATTTTATAATTGATTTAGCCCAATCACTGTTACTCATGGGATTAGCTTGGACATTTAAAACGAAGCTTACTGAAAATTTCAAACATTAGCATTTTGGCTAATTTTAGCTTTCGCACTAATGTTAACATACTGAATGGTTCAAGTCCATGTTAGCCAACATGCTTGTGACTCTCCACAAGCAACTTTGTAATTTTTTTGATAGCTTAGCATTGATGCAAATTTGTACACTGGCTCCAGGCACACTTTGGCAGGCCCTGGTTAAATTTCATCAGGAATTTTTTAGTTATTTTTATCCATCCGTCCGTCCGTCCGTCCATCCATCTTCTTACACCCTTGTCCCTAGTGGGGTCGGGAGGTGCTGGTGCCTGTCTCCAGATAACGTTTCGGGCGAGTACAAAACAGGAAAAACAGCCATGCATGCACACTCTCACACAAATTAACCTAACAGGCATCTTTTTTGACTGGGGGAGGAAGACGGAGCACCCTGAGAGAACCCACGCATGGAGAACATTCAAACTCCAAGCAGAAAGAGCCCAGGCCGGGAATTGAAGCCAGGACCTTCTTGCTGCAAGGACCTTCCACTGTGCAGCCCAGGGAATTAATTCATTAATCAATCATTTAATTTATTATCGAATTGATAATAAATTAATTATTATCGATTAATAATTAATTAAATAATTAATTTATTAATTATTATCAATTAAAAATTAATTAAATAAATAATTTATTAATTATTATTAATTAATAATTAATTCATTAATTATTAATTAATTATTACTTCAAAGACAAAAAGCTTATGAAGGACTAAACAAACACCGCTCTCTCTGCCGACTTGTCTTGTACATTCTGCGACTCCTTCTCTCATTCCCTGTGCTGTAGCAACTGCCACGCCAGTGTCTGTGCTGCTCGCTTCTCCTCTTAGGTCCACACTTGAACATTTGATTTTTTTCATCCATCCGTGGATAGATGGATGGGATCCACCCATCCATCTATCCATTCATTTTATTGCACTTATCCAGGGTCGGGTCGTGGGGATAGCAGCTTAAGAAGGGAGGCCCAGACTTCCAGGCCTCGAGAGCCGGTCTCCTGCAACTTTTAGATGTGTTTCTACTTCAACACATCTGAGTCAAATGATGGGATCATAAGCAGAACTGTGGAGAACTTGACTGCATTCAGGAGGTGATTCAGCTGTTTGAATCAGCTGTGTGGACCAGGGAGACATCTAAAAGTTGCAGGAGACCGGCTATGGAGGCTTGGAGTTGCCTCCCCTGAGTCAGTTGAACTAATCCTGCAACAGTTCAGTTTGAGAACACAAACTGTGACTAATATGGCCCCACACTCTGCCTTGGGTTCAACAACTCCAAAACCCAAACAGAGAATCAGTTAATGAGGTTTATGACAAGGGAGTCACATTAAAACCTCTTGTCTCCATAAAATCCGTGATTCAATCATTTCCCTCCAATAAAAGTAACCAATCAGAAGCCGCAGGTCGGGCTCCGCTTACGACGCTGTTTCTGGATGACATAATCCATCTGCGTCGCGCTCTGTCCCGACCCGCGGCTGACCTGCGACCCTCCAGCACCGCTCCACTCCTCGGCGGGCCACGCCCCTCTTCAGAGGCGCGGCTGGTCCTCTGCGCTGGGCCGCCTGTCCAACCTGTCCAGCCTGTCCACAGCGTCTCTTCTGCGAATCTGCTCCCAGCAGTTGAACCACTGAGATATGGTGTGAGAGCTGAGCTGTAACGGCTCAGCTCTCACACCGAACTGCTTACAGCATGTCATTGCTGTCAGCATAATGATCTGTAAGCATGCTTAAGCATGATCATCATGCTTACAGCATGATGATCAATCCTGTGCAAAGCACGACAAGGAACGAGGTGGCATATCCGCCAACCTGTGCGGTGCGCAGCTTTTTGCTCTCAAAACTCTGGAAGGCCTTCTTCATCTGCGCTTGCAGCAGCTCGCTCATCTGGGCGCTGACGCGCTCGTCCTTGGATCTCAAAAGGTCCTTCAGCTGTGAGCTGCTGCGCGTTTTCTTCAGCTCTTCCAGCACCTTGGCGCACATGCTGCTGCGCTTCCTCGAAGATGTTGAAAATTTCTTCGGGATCGTGAGGCCTTCTGTGGCCCCGTCTATCACCTGGTGGATGAAGGCAGTCTCCTCCTCGCCGAGCTGCTCTGCAGTTCGCAAAGCCCCGCAGCGGACCAGCAGCCCGAGCTGCAGGTTTGCTGCGAACAGCTTCAGCCGGTTCCCCTCCAGCTCCTTCTCCATCTGGTCCGGAACATCGGGATGGTTGAAAAAGATCCGTTTAAGTTTCATTTTCTCAGTGAAAGTTTGCAACGACGCGATTCTAGTGTGAGAACTCCTCCAACTCCTGTCTGTTTGTCTCTGAGGAATCACTGAACGAGACAGAGACTCAAAACTTGTCAAAGCCTTTGTTGCGCCGTCGTTCAGTGACGTCCTGTCAGTGACGTCATATGGCATAAAACTCTTCGTGACCATAAAAAAATGCTCATCCTATAACACCAAATGATCTGTTGTTTATAAAACACAAGCACTTTGGAAATACTGCTCATCTCTGGACAGTTAGTAAACTGTCCAAATTTAAAGTTGGTAAATTTTGCAAACATAAAAATCAGATGTTCAGGTGAATATTTTCCAAAGATAAAAACAAAAAAAGCTGTATGTTCCCCCTCAGGTAAACGGGTTCCCATTCGGGTCTCTTCTGAGGTCTTCTTGAATGATCAGGCTGCAGACACAGTATTTACAAGAGCTCTGTAGACAAATAGCTGTATTATTTGTACTGCGATGGCCAATCTTGGGCAAAGATTGGCCATCGCCAATCTGGAGGTAATAATGGCATGAGACAGGAAGGAAAGGTCTTTTTTGTTATCCTGAAAACAAAGCAGAAAAGAGCAGAAACAAAAGTACAAAAGGTTAAATAAAAACAAAATGAAAAGCAATTTGTCAAGTTTAAACTTCTTTTATGCACCTACTCATTTTACTTTTTTTGTAATTTTTTGTTTGATTCATGACAAAATAAGCCAAACAGAATAAGGAACAATGGGTTATTTTCTCTTTTTGTTATTAGAAACACTTAAATGAGATCTCACGTTTTTCCCTGCT